TACTCTAACATTTTATGTATATTATTTAAAAATAAAGTAGGTCACATTAATTGAAAGAAAATGACACAAAATAATATATACAAGTCTAGCTAATTCAAGCGTAACATATGAGAAGATCATAAGTCTTATTTAATGTAATGAGAGCAACTCCATTTGACATATTTTTGGAAGCTAGTGTAATGTGAGCAAAGAGTTTTGCTTGATCTCAATTATTGAAGCAACTAAAAATTGCATAATCAAATGCAATGTTAAACACTAACTTCTTGCGCCGATGAGATACTTTGCCAAAAATATATAGCAGTATGTAAAAGCTAAAAATACAATAGCTCATATTTTAAACGATTTTATGATCACAGTATGACTCTCATACCTTACTGTAACAAAATACCTCATTTAAAGACTCCTTAACAGATTAAAGCAACACTTAGATCAAAGTTCAATACATAACCTAAGAAACAGAGACTGAAAACTCAAGTATTCTATAACAACATACGTCATAATCATCATGTGTCTCCTGTTACAAGTCCATGGAATCCCAAAATCTCCTTCACAGTCCCCGTCAAATCTTTGGCCATCGATCTCCGCATCATGACTTTGGCACAACTTGGTATTCTTATTCTTCCTATGGTCCTTCCATGACCAATGCCACCATGACGAGATAGGAAACCTTGGCTTATTGATTGTTGGTCATTGGGGATGCCGGGATGATAATTGTCCTGCAACAATAGGAAAAAGAAAATTAGATGGGGAAGAGAAAGGCGAGGAGTCTAAAATAAATCACATCTTCCCAGTTTTTTATAATGAGAAAAATATCAATAACAGTGAGAGGTAATTTAAAATTTCAAGTATTTGATTAGAGCAATTTTAGGGATATGACTTTTACTATTAAGTATAATATTAAATGATGTTTTAATTGGAATATAAATTTAAAAATTACTTGGACGTATAACTAATTATATACAGTCTCAATTCATATAGATCATTTTTATTTTTGCCAAATGACTGATTTAACAATTTTTTAACATAACACTAGGTGTTAGACCCATCCGAGAAACGGGGAGCACATATACATAGACATTACTACACAAACAAATCAAAAAAATGTTAATATTTGTATAGATTTTTGTATTTTTATAAAAATATAAAATGAATTCATTGAAAAATATAAAACACAAACATCGACAACACTTTGCCAAACAAATACACTGGTAATTTATTTAACGCAAAAAAGATTGTTAAGAAATTAAAAAAAAAATGAACTTTGAATTAAATAATTATATATCTTGCAATATTTCTTGGTAGATTACATTGGTAGTTTGGGGTGGAAAGGTTGGCTAGGGAAATTAAGAGATTATGATAAGGAATTTTTTTTTTTTTTTTTGAAAAGGTTTATGATAAGGGATGGTTACTACAGAAACAACAACCCTAACATGTTGTAGAGGCCATCCAATTTTTTAATAAGAAAAATAAAAAAAAGGTTGGATATCAGTACCTTTATTCCTTGTCTCGGAGTGACTTTTGTTTTCAATGTTTTTATTTTATTATTTTCTTTTTTAAATATGGTGCATTCTCACTTTCCTTCATTTTTTATTTTTTTAGCCTCATTTGTTCGTTTGATTTAGTTATTTCTCATTACTCTAATAATTTATCTTTAATTACCTTACCCGTTGTCAGAAATATTTTATTTAAAATGTGAGGGTGGACTATTTTTTTACCCTTAAAGAATATCATTTACCTTTTTTTTTCTTCATTAATATCTTTCTAGACACTTGCGCAAATGTAAAATCCATCCTGATCATTTTTTTCCGAATTAAAGTTAGATTTTTTTAAGAAAACAATTTTAAAATTTGGTTCAAAAAATCATAAATTTGCGACATAAGATTTAGTCATATGTGGCATGATACGATACCTTAGATTTTCTCTCTCTGGAGTTTGCTTTAATATAATATATATAGACTTCTTTTCAGGAAAAAAAAAAGGAACAAAAAATTAAGAGCCAAATATTTAGCCGCATAGACCCTTTTATATTTGTTGAAAACACGAAACATTTAGCAGTCGCACATGATTAGACAAATAAATTTATCTTATTAAAAAGCACAAATATTTTTTTAGGAAACAGAAATTAGAATAAAAAAATTAAGTAGATAACCAATTCAACAGTCACTGCACTATTGTTGGAATGTAGTGTGCATCAGAAATCTATGCAAATTTTCAATGGAATGATGAGCACAACCTGAATTTGAAATTCATTACCAAGATTAGCTAAACAGAGGTAATAATCAAACTATTCTAGATTTTAAAACAAATAGCACCGTTAGAATCATGATTTCATCAACATTCAAGAAGAAGTATTTCGTCAGTATTCAAAGCCGTTTCTTAATTCCGTTTGTGCATGACAAAACAAACAGCTTCTCAGCTATTTTGCTTTTTATCCATCTTCAGACCATTTTTGTGAGATTTCGAGTGTTGAGACCTCCTTATCTAGCGAGTAGTAGTTGATTCATGTATAAATTAGTATATTTATTTTAATAAATTATTAATATAAAATTCTTTTTCAGTTGCGTTTTTTTATTAGGAGGAAGAGATCCGTCCATCGAATTTGCAGGGATTTGGTCGAATCAATATAGAGTTTGGATTATTTCAGTTGCATTTTTTTCAAGACGCAACACTTGAACTCTATTTAATAACATATATATATATATATATATATATAGGAATTGAGTACTCTCGCCAGATGTGCATAAACCTATAAATATACACCTTATTGTTTTGTTTTGTGTATTTTTATATTTAGAAAATTAAGAAAATGCCACATAGGATAAAATCCTATATGGCATGTGATCCTTGACTTTAGATTCCTCTCTCTGGTTTTTGCCTTAATATAGTATATAGATAGATTTGGGACATGCATGATGTCACATAAAATAAATTTCTATGTGTCAAAATTTAAGGAAAAGTTTTGTTTTATCTCTATGATTTCTCTCTAAGCATAATATATATACTATAGTTCGTTTGAATTTTGAATTAGACATTAATTAATATTTATCCTTTCCGCTGATGTTTGAATGATAAATTTGTTCCCCAATTAAGCTACAATTCAAAATAAAAGAAAAAGAACAATCAATCAACATTAATGACTGCCCATTTAATATTGATATTATTGACGGAATATGTTGCAAAACTCAGCAATAAACTATTATGATATAATTCCTTGACCACCGAAGAAATACTCCATGAATAATTCTCCATCCGGATCAAATTAATCAATGCTGATTATATCTTATTCTTATTTCCTATTTAGTCGTCCATTAATTTAAAATTATAGGTGTGAAAAATTTACTTCCATAAATTCCTAAAGACTTGTAGTGTAAATGCATAAACTTTTTTTTCGATAATTTTTATAAAAATGACACATAGAATAGGATAAAATCCTATGTGGCACCCTTAGAAATCTTTTTTAGTTTTTCTCTCTGGTTTCTCTCTTAGTATCATATATATATATATATATTATAGAAAGAATAGATATAGATTGATAAAAAAATATCCATCATCAAATAATAACTATACCAATACATATTTGAAACATGTTAATGATAATGAAAGATTCCTTCAATGAAAAATGATTTCTCTTTAGATTTGAGATTCTGTTTTTCTGATTCCCTTTCCGGACAAAATAACTCAGCCTAAATGTTATGCGTCCAAATTCCGCTAAATGATGAAAGAAGTGGTGTATAATTCCGGTGTGGGAAAATCTTTCATCATTTCTTTAGTGTTATTATGATAATTAGTATTCCAATTATACTTATTTAATCAAAAATATCTTTTTAAATCTGAAAATAAAATCTTCAATGAGGGGCCTTTAATTTGGAATCATACTGCCCAAATATGGTGATTAAACCTTAATCTTATTAAATAACCTCATTCAAATAAATAAATAAAGTAGATCAGTCAAAGTACCCTTTTCCACATTTATCTTCTACCATAGCTATTCCAAGTTCGAACTTAAACTAGATATAGGAGTATATCTTCTATGAAATTCGATATTTCTGTTCCCAAACCTGAAAGAGATAAAGCATCGCTGGAGGGAGATGCATGATGCATCTACTAGTACACAACTTATATGAAAAATGTCAAAATTTAATTTCATGTAGTAGAACACGTTAAAAACAACTTTGATATGTATCAAAATGGCTGTACTCTGAATATTTTTCATATCTTAATGATACTGTTTCGATTTTAACTTTGGTCAGATAATCATTTCTAGGCAGAAGAATCAACAAATATTTTAAATCATTCAATTTGTTGGATAGCTACATTAATTTTTTCCTCTTTGGGAGTTTCTAATTCTTGTTTATAAAAGACACGATAAGCATCTTAGTACTAACAATCCACTCCAAACCAGTTTAAACTCTGCAAAATATAAGCAACCTTTCTCTTACTTTTCTATGCTGAACTTTTAAAAAAAAAACAAACGACAACAATAATAATCATAATAATGTGATTTTTCAAGTAATACATAATAGACTAGAATCTGAAGATAAAAAAAAAATTACAGAATATTTTTATTTTTTTAAAAAAGAGAAAAAGAAAATTAAGTTATCGTTGTTCTAAAGTTTTCCTTTTTTTATTTTTTATTTTCTGAAGAAAAAAGGTTGAAGACGAAGAAGGAAGAAAACACAAACAAAAACAAATGAGGTTGGCTCTTGTGAATGAGTAGATTCTAATCATTAATTACGTCAAAATTTCATTGATTTAAAGATTTTGTAATGGAAGGAAGTTTCCAAATATAAATTGATATGTTAATAATAACAATAAAATGCATATATGTAAGATTTTATAACTAATAAATACATAAAATAGTGGCGTAACCTCGTATTGGTCAAAACGCGCAACCAAATAACCTTGGAACCTTCGAAACAACGTGCGAATTGGAAAATTAGTTCAGGAAAAAATATAAAAAAAGCCTTTTTTCTGAAAATACGACCGAGTCAACCTTTCCCTTTCCCATCGCTTTCCCCAAACCCGAACTATAAAGTCAGCTGGCGGGGGGTTAGTTTAGTTCCTCCCACTCCTTATCAACAATGATGAATCTACCAAGAAACTATAATTAACCCCTTTTTCGTGTTCCATTTTTTGGTTAATCGTTAGGTGGCAAACGTTCCACAACTCCCAACTCCCTATCCCCATAATTAGATGCATATAATTTAATACTAGTTAAGACAGAGCAGCAGATTTGCACCTATAATTGTTCTTGTTCCCCAAGATTAGTACTTTATTGTTAGTTTGTAATAGTAGGATATAGTACAGTGTTAGAAGCTTTGTATATATCACCCTATTGTGAATAACAAAAGGGATCAATCCATCAATCAATCTAGGATTGTCCTCAACAATGGCACTAGCTGGATTTCTTGCCGGGGTTTTTCTTCTGTTGGCGCTGTATTGTGGGTTGGACCCTTTTAAGCACAGCGCGATTTCTGAGTTTCCTGATTTTGTAGCTCATAAAGTGGAAATGCCGGCATGGGATGAAATCCCTGTTGAGAAAGACACTCAGAATTTGCTTCAGAAATCGGAAATTAAGTTTCTGAATCAAATTCAGGGTCCTGAAAGCATGGCCTTTGATCCTCAGGGTCGTGGGCCTTATACTGGAGTGGCTGATGGCAGAATCTTGTTCTGGGATGGGGCGAAATGGAATGATTTTGCTTATACTTCGGCTAATAGGTGAGGTTTTGAGTTAAAGGGGTTTGATTCATTTGTTGTATTTTGTGTTTCTTTGGGATTTCTGAGTTTTTTATGTTCTGTGATTTCGATGTTGTTTATCAAGCTTTTGTCCCGAATTTGGGGTAAGCAGGCAAATTGTATGAAGGAAATGTGAATGGTTTACAAGATAATGAGTTCTGCAACAGAACAGAATAAGAGATTGAACTTCAAACTTGCTATTCTAACAAAATGAAATGTTTATCAGCAGTAGTCTGGGATTTTGGAATTGAAAATCTTTCTACTTACTCTTAATGTAGTCTGTTTCTGCCTGTTGGCATGGTAATCAGTATTGTGCAGTCCTTCACGCATGATTCAAGCTTACTTCTTTCTGTAGTAAATTTCTAGCTTCAGACTTTAGCCTTTGTGCTGAAAACACCTGTCTACTAAATTACTACAAGCTGATTATCTGGAGTAGTTACTCATGTACTGTAAGGGACTTGATAGCAGTTTCCCTAATTGTTTTGGTTCAGCTGCTTGTATTGTGCATCTTTAAAACTGCCGCTCCCTTTTCTCGCTGTGGCTATCTTGTTGACAATTCCTAGTTTTCTAGACTTTGTCTGAGCTTTTCAAATTTTTGGTAAGGTGTCAAATAGTACCTGGCAACAGTATTTGCAACCTTTGGAGCACTTAGTAAACCTTGTCTGAACATGATGGCTTATAAAAAATGGACGAATAAAACATATTTGTCTAAATTGATGACTTGATGAGGAATGTGAAAATGTATGTATGTGGGGAAGCGTTATTTCTTTTTTAGTGGTTTCATTAGCTATATTATTACTCAACCCAACTTCATGTCATATGATTTACTTAGGGTACATTTTGTGGACAAATTTTTTATGACATCTGCTATTCAAGTGACTGATAAGTCATTTCATTGCCATCCAACTTGGAGATTCTTAACATTTTTTACCAAATTAAATGTGATTTGCCCTTGTTGTTCTTTTGTTTCTTGAGCTTATCGGTGACACTCTGCAGTAAAAGTTAAAAAAGGAAAACGAGAAATGAGAGATATTGGTTGTTCTAAAAGAATAATCGATTCAACTCGCTGAAAATTGCTTCCTCCCAATGGGTCTCTGAAATTTTTCCTAGTCTTCCCTTCATTGCAAGTGTCATTAAATTCCAAATCTGAAAGTACCTTGTTTGATTGGGATTCTTTGTTTTGTCATCTTACTTATAGATAGAGATTTAGCATAGCTATGAATGGCTCATGTAGGTGAGAACAGCTCTGAAATTTTATCCATGTGCTATCCCGCCTCTAATCCTCCAGTTTTCTTGCTTTTGTTACCTACTAACTTGTCTGGAAATTTAACTACTACAGTAGCTTCTAGAATATGATTTTTATCATTATCGTTCAAGATCCTAGTAACGCAAAAATAGCTGAGTATATGTGTAGAATCTTAATGTCCACAAATTTCTTAACAGAATGAAGCAAAAATTTAAGTATTATCTGTCTTAAAACGGCTACTTATTCCGGGAAATGCTGCTTGACTTTTGCAAGTGCAAATTTATTTTAACCTTCGGTTTGTTGGAAGATAATGGAGCTGGAGGGACTGTTAGTTTGGTTAGGTAGAGTCCTACCCCTTTAGGGGTCGTTTCTTTTCTTTTTGTGTGTGCGCGCACGTGTGTGTGTGTGTGTGCGGGGGTGTGTGTGTGTGTGTGTGTGTGTGTGTGCGGGTGTGTGTGTGTGTGTGTGTGTGTCAATATGCAGTACAAAGGGGTAACTGCTTACTTGAAATTGGACTGTGGGAGATACATGAATGAAGTGGAAATTGATTGATACACTCTGTAGTTGGCTTTGGCTACTAGGTTTTACCCTTTTCGTGAAAATAATCTTGACTTCATGTTGGATGATTTGATAATGATGATCCAAAAACTGTTGAATGTAAGATGAGAAAGGTGACCAATTAGTTAAGTGTTCGTTGTTATGCAGTACCTGTGACAACTAGAGTTTCTTTCTGTATGCTCCTTATTCAACATTTTATACCTAGGAAATTGACTTTGAAACTGGAGGAAGCTTTTTTTTCCTTTTGAAACCAGGACTCCCGGAAAACATGGTCGGAGGCTATGATCGTGAAGATTTCCAGACTCATTTCTCTTTGTTTCTTCTGAGAATTATATTTGTGGTTCAAAATGAGTGATTGCAAAAATTTGGTACCACGAGAACACTTGACTTTATATTTTACTAGAAACACTTTAACACTATGGTTCATGTACCTGTACTCTACCCAAAATTATCTTCTACTACTTTATGTGTAATTATCATCCGCCTTGTGCAAAATGAAAGTTTGTAGTCATTTCACATGTCCTTCATGATATAGTTGGGTGAAGTATCTGTTTAGCTATTTTCTTAGATGGAAAATACAATAAAAATTTGAATGCTAAAAGAGTTCTTTGTGTTGGTTCTCTCTCACCAAAAGTAAATCAGTAATTATATTTTTCCCTGTTCATTAACTGCATGATTCCACGCTAATTCCATAGTTCGACTGATTTAAAACAGAGAGAAGGAAGATGAGCATAATTATTTCTTACATTCTGACTGATTCTTCATGGAAGCTCATTTTGATTGTTGTCCAGTAAGTTTATCAAGAAAACAACTCAATTAACACTTTCCTTCATATCTTATCTTATTTCTGCTTCCATTTGGGAATCAAATTTGAGTGGTGTTGGCGGGTGTGATCCTGGTTGTTTATGGCAAGTGGTGTGCATAGAATAGCTGGGGGGATAATGGTTATTGATTTTCTCGTGAACATGCTAATGTACCAAGAACAGAGTAATCAGATTGTATTTGTTGATTTCTTTTGAAGTACCTGAAATATTTGAAATATTCCTTTAATTATTCTTGCAAGACTGGGGAAGGTAACTTAAGAAATCACATTGATGTAGACTTTTCCTGATTAATGTTCTGTTGCTTTGTGGAAATGCCGAATAATAGCTAGCATAGGCATCACTACGTATCCGCTTTGCTGCCAACCTGAAGTTCAGGCTAAGCACTTGTCTTTTCAGCATGGAAATTTTACTCACAATGCGAAAGAAATGTGATGGATTTATCTTGTTGATGTTTATCAACATTCTGTTGGGAAGTTATACTCCCTCTGTTGCAGAAAAATAGCCCACTTAGTTGAACTAAAACAGTGGGACAGAGGGAGTAATACACACCTTTTATTAACACTATAACTTTTCCTCTCCAGCAGTTGCCCTGTCTTTATCGGTCTGATTGTGGGTAAATTTCCTTGTCAAGTGCCATAATTTGTTAAACAGATCTTGTTGTTGGACAGTGTACATCCTACGGCATTTTCCAATCCATGTTCCTTCAATTGCTTAGATTGGACCTAATTTTCAGTTTATGTATGCCATTAGTAGATATAAACATTCTAACAAGTAACAAGGTTGGCTTACATGTGTGCTGGTTTGCAAAAGGTCTTCTTGGTTTCCTTTTTATACCAATGCTTAAATCTTTTAATGATAGATTTAAGTGCATAGATTTGTTCAAGATCGAAATTGATTTCTTATTTGTGATGAATTATAGGTCAGGTTTATGTGATCCTAAACCATCACCCTTGCTCTACTTGAAGAATGAGCACATTTGTGGAAGGCCTCTGGGTTTAAGATTTGACCAGAAAACAGGTGATTTGTACATTGCAGATGCATACTTCGGGTTAATGAAGGTTGGACCTGAAGGTGGGTTGGCAACATCGTTGGTAACTGAGGCTGAAGGAGTGCCACTTCGATTCACTAACGATCTGGACTTTGATGATGACGGAAACATTTACTTCACTGATAGCAGTATTAACTACCAAAGAAGGTACATAATTTTATACATTCTTGAGGCAGTAGGTATACCCATTTCCATTACCAACTTTGTTCGTGTCGTCATTATTCTATCCTGATACAATTCTTGGACTGTCTGGTTCAGAACCCTCCAGAGTTAACCGGTCAGTAGTGTAAGTGAAGCGGAAATTACTGCAATATTGATTTACACTCAGGGTGGTAGCCATGAGAATCCTTGATTATGGGAGCAAATTATGCAGAGCTTACCTATACACTTTAAAATGACTAGAATTCCAAATGTGACAGGAATCATCCCCCTCCACCTTAGATAAAGAATAGATTACTCATATTCAATTTTAACATGTCTGATATAAATTGTTTTAGCAAATTGGGCTGCAATTCAAATTTTCTTTTTCGGACCCTGGGGTTTATGCTTAGTATTCATTACTTGCCACCATCCATTCTGTTTAATTTCTGAAATTTCTTTACAGGAACTTTATGCAGTTAGTTTTCTCTGGAGATGATAGTGGACGGCTGTTGAAATATAATCCCCAAACTAAAGAAACCACTGTTCTTGTTAAGGGTCTTCAATTCCCTAATGGTGTGTCCATGAGTAAGGATCGATCTTTCGTTGTCTTTTGTGAGGGTTCAATTGGCCGGTGAGTTATTCAAATTTAATTCAATCTTCTTTCTTGCCCCCTAAATTTCAGTAGCGACCCTGTGCATTCACTTTATATTCTATTTTCTCTTTCAATTTGCTAATCTAGTATGCCCTTTATTTGAAATTTCCGATGCCTGTAAAATTCTGGTTGCATTCTTATTCCCCACATGGATTCACAGTAAGCGATTCTTAAAGTTGTTGGATTTGGCTCAAATAATATTTCCCTTCAAAATTTGTTTATCATCATTACATATGGTTGGGTTGAAAAGGTCTTGCGAATTCATGAAAGGAAGAATATGACTTGTCCCCTTAAATGGTATTCTGTCAAGGACTCATGGGCATTACATATACATGAAATCGATGCTTTAACATGCTATAAATTATTGCGTCAAGTATAAATTGCTTTCTGTTGTTGTGAACATAGAAGTCCAATTTTGCTGTTTTCATGTAGTCTCATAATGCGCAAAGTTCGTACAACTTCCAGGGACAGATGCATTTTGCTAATCAAGTGCATATTTGCATTGTACATAAAGAATGCAAGTATTTATGCTTTCCTCCTATCTAAAATGTCGAATTTCTTTGTTAAGGCACTTTCGTCATCTCAAATTTGAGGTATCTTTTCTATTGATATTATGTAGGTTGCGCAAGTACTGGTTGAAAGGTGAAAAAGCAGGGACTTCAGAAGTCATGGCTGTCCTGCCTGGCTTTCCTGACAACATCAGAACCAATGAAAAGGGTGACTTTTGGGTAGCGATCCATTGTCGCCGCACCATTTATGCATATGTGTGTGCGTTGTACCCAAAACTCCGTATGTTCTTGCTTAAGCTTCCAATCTCTACAAAGATCCACTACCTGCTGCAAATTGGCGGCCGACCTCATGCAGTAGTTGCAAAGTACAGCCCAGAGGGGAAGGTGTTACAAATATTGGAGGATAGACCAGGAAAAGTTGTTAGAGCTGTTAGTGAAGTAGAAGAAAAAGACGGGAAGCTTTGGATGGGCAGTGTCTTGATGCCTTTTGTCGCGGTTTACTCGTTAGAATAAGGAAATAAAAAACGCAGATCTTCATGGTCTCTAGTCTATTATTCTCCCTCTCATCTTGTATGTGCTAGGAACTGTAATGCTAGCCACGAGGGTTGAGATTAGAAGTTTCCAGGATTGTAGCTCATCATCAGCACTCTGTTACTTTTCTACCCTTCCATCTTTTAAGTCGTTCCCCTTGATGCTGTTCAATGATGTGGCTTTGACATTGTTTGTACGGTAAGTTTTATTCTGAAGTGCATTATCTTTCTGAGTTTGAAGTTGTGCTTCTTTTTTGATCTTTGTATTAGCTTTTGACTCATCTCTGTCCCTTTTCATGTTTATGTTCTTAGAAATTTGAACTATAATCTTTTGAACTGTATGGAGTACGCTCATTTTCTAACTTTCAATCACAATGGTTAAATGATGCTTTTATCACGTAGGGTAAAATCAGTTGCATGGTTGAGTTGAATGCATTCAATATGATTACATTGTTATTCTTTTATCAACATAAGTTTTATTGAACTTACTTATAAACAGAAAAATCATACTTGGCCCGGTCCTTACTATAAACCATTTGACATAATTACAGGCACTTTATTCTTCACCTCTAGAAGAAATTAACCATGTAGAAAACAAAGAACAGGGAAAATGCAGCCAAGTCCGAGATGCTTCCCCAGGGACAGAGATGAGTCAAACTTGAAGCAGCAGCATCTGCAAAGGGGTTTTTCTTTTTTTTTTTTTTGTTACAAGAAGAAAAACCCTTCTTCAGATCCACCTTTTTTGCTAAACAGCGTATTAGTAAACTGGTATCTTGTGCAGAATCGCCAAACAGTTCACTGGTATCTTTGGCAGAACCGGGAAATAGTTCACTACCTCTTAAGAATCCGATCAGAAACATCGTCCTTGCGAAAAAACATTAAACTCAATACCATTGCTGCATTCAATGGAGTCAAACAAAATCCTTTCTTTTGCATTTCTTCAAGATAAATATCAATGCCATCGTATCTACACATAATTTCTCGTCTTTCAATAATGCTACCATCAAATATTCCTTCCCAAGCAATACAATCAAATTGCCCTTCCAAAATGATGTTGTAAGTAGCTTGATTTGGCTGGCACCCGATTTCTTTCATTTCGACGAAAAGTCGTTCAGCTGAATCTCGTTACTACATCAGGATCCAGTCCCTTACGACGTAAATGGTCCCAAAGAACCTCTGCTCGACTGAGTTGTCCTGTTTTGCACAAGGCAACAATGATGACATTGTAGACTGCTGTATGCAACTCTACACTCCATCCATTTCCATCTTATCCAACAACAATAAAGCTTCATCAAGATTGTTATTCATGCACAAACCATCAAGTAGTACACAGTAAGCCTGAACCTCTAGTGTTAAGGAGCCTCGCGCAATCCCCTTGTAAAATTGACGGTCTATATTAATACCAAAACCTTTCATCAGAGCACAAAGCTCTTTTATCTCGCTAAATTTATGCGACATGAAGATATGGCGGTACACACAGCAAAAAGTGACTACATCCGGCGCAATGTCATTCCGGACCATCTCGTGGATGAGGTCAATACTTGCAATAGGCATCGATGAGCATTGTAAATGACGGTATTGGGTTTAGTAGTATTTCCGTTTTCCATGACCCTGAGGACTTCGAGAGCTTTTGTTACGTTCCCGGCCGTACAAAACCAGGCAATCACATTACCTCGTCAGGTTGACAGAGTTTTTGGTGCGTAATTTATCGAACAGGTTTTGTGCCTCCGGGATCCGGCGTTGATGAAAGAGCGCCCTTATAAGGTGTTAAAGCAATTCCGCGCTTGAGCATTACTCCTAGCGCAGAGAACCCTAAATCCACTCGACTCTCCAAAGGGTAACGGTTAATGAACAGAGACATGGTAACCTCATTAATTGGGATTCCTTTGGGTGTAAAAACACTATCGAAATCGAAATCGATCGCGGAGTTTGGGAGAGGCCTGATCATTCCGATCATCTTGCAAAAACGCAAAGGATCAGAAACAATGTCGTATATATTTATTATTATCTTTTTTCAAAGTAGAATTTTCAATGGAAGCAGAAGAATGAAAGGCGAAGGTGAGATTCTTCGGATATCGATGAATCAGCGGAGGACGAGAATGAAGTGAAAGAGCTCGAATTAGATGAAGAGTAGACATGGCCAGAAGAATTTCAGATGATGAAGTTAATGATGATAATGAATATTGGAGGTCAAAATGATTCCCCTGAAGAGTCCTAAAATGATACTCACCGTCCTTAATTTAAAGCATTTTGATTTGTTTTCACTTGGTATGTATCTATAATACTTATTTAAAGCAACAAACACGAAGGATACGTGTCAACATTAGAATGAAAATTTTCTCTCTAAAGATTCTCAGCACTTCTCAATACAAAACTGAATCAACGAGAATACGCCACGTAGCTTCATATATGTGCAAAAAATTTCAGTTCTGAATCCATTTTCAAATGAGCAAATTAAATTTAAATATTTAAATTTGAAAAATCTTTATTTTAGGGAAGAAACTAATTATTTACGTCTGACTATAAGTCCGGTATATATTTTCCAATAAAACAACAGTAAAACTGGTTTATGTAACTGAATTAAATAGTACATATCGGCCACAAAATAGGAACTTCGAAAAAGAGTCCGTAAATCTTTCAGATTTGATAGTCTTCCACTTCATGTATTATTCTTTTCACAGTAATCATCCCGTCAGCATAGTCAACGCGTTTTCCAGCTTTAAATTCCTGTGTTAAAAAAAGAAATGATCACATCATATCCCTTATTCAATGGGATAATATAATCAGTTAACAGAAACCAAATACATGCATATTTTGTATAATGATCACCATGTCATTCAATTTTTATGGTAACTTATGAAAATTGTAATGCATTTAAAACTCTAAAAGGATTCCTATGAAAGAAATTATACTAGAAACCAAAAAAACCAATCAATATATGTTTTGCACAGACGTATATATCTGCAAGCTTTCTGTGCATATCAACAACCACTTTTCAATCACAGCACAAATCTCAAAATCTTTGCCTTTCAGTAACCATTATCATCACAAATTAATTTACACAAATGGGCTATGAGGCAATATGTTACCTGTATAAATACATCTATTCTCCTCACAGATCCTACACCAGACCATTCATGTAATTCGCAAAAACCAGATTTTCATATTCTCATATTAGCCATATTTTATTATTGGCTGAAACAAACCAAACTGCAATTTCAGTTGTTTAACCTGAAGGTTTTGTTGAAACTATGAATGAAAATGCTGTGGATAATCCAATTGTCATCCCATCTGAAGATGTCATTTTTACACTACCAAACCAAACAAATATTGCAGTTGTTGAACCATCAGATAATGTTGAAATTGTGAACGAAGATGCAGTTGACAATTTTGTGGTGAATCCATCTAAAGATGTCATTGCTACACCACCAAATGATGTTGGTGCTACAGGTATTTCCATACTTGCTGCACAAAGATACATCGTTGACATCAATGGATTGAGTTATACAAAAAGCAACCATTTCACCATAGTTGTCAAAGTGATGACACTTTGGGAGGTTCCAGAAGTATCCAAAAAAAACAAAGTGAAGTCTGTTGAGAGGTGTTTGATTAATGCTCAGGTATTCACTATTCCACCATAATTGGTTTTAAAGTTTTTTCATGCACAATTATTTTCCTGCAGTATATGTTATTACCTATTTGTATACATTTATCAGGGAAGCAAAATTCAAGCAACCATTCCTGGAAGAATTGTGAAAGATTTTGCAAATTCTTTCAAAGAAGGTTGTGTTAGAAGATTATCAAGATTTGACACTTTTCTCATCGTTAGTGGGAGGATTCAGGTATACTAAGCACGAATATAAAATTGTGTTCATGTCAAACACAAATGTTGAAGCTGCATTTAATTTTGACATCCCAGATCATGTGTTTGAGTTCACACCATTGGCAAAAGTTACAAACTTTGTGGCTAACTTCGATTATTGTTTTCATAAGATGATTTTAAAGTTGTGGTGAAATTTCCTTATACAAATCTGTATAAAAAGTTTAAAATATTTTCAACTATGTAGATTTGATAGGCCACGTCATGGCTTACAGTGATCCAATTGTTGAAAATGAAAAGAAGAGGATTTCAGTGGAGCTTGAAGATGAAAGGCGAATGTTACTTTGTTTTTACAGTCTAAACACTAATTATTCATATTGCATTATACTGTAGGAATTAAAACATTATTACTAAAAAAATGTCTATAGTTTTGAAGGATTGACAAGCTGAAGGTTACTTTGTGGGGGGAACACGCTACACAAGTCACTAAATATATGTCTAAAAATCCTCCGTTTCCTGTGGTCCTTATTTTTCAATATGTTAAGTACAAAAAATACTACTGTGAGTAATCTTTTTGCTTATATGTATATGAATGTACGCATATTAAATTAAAATTTATGAAATTGCTATAATCATCATGTACTTTTTTTTTACTATGTAACAGCAAAAGCTTCTGTTACTACTAATCTTTTCAATGGGAAGATATATCTTGATGATATGACAATACCAAACATATCAGAGTACAAAGACAGATATAATTATTCTTAGTAACTACTATAATATCACCATATAGTTGCATAATTACTGTTTTATTCATATTGTAATTATTTGGAAACAATATATACAGAAATAATGTCAATGAAATGATAGTTGCAAGTATCCAAAAAATTTCAATGCTGTCACACGGCTCTGGATACACATCTTATGAAGAATTCATAAATGGAGCAAAACTTTTGTCATTGAGTGACATAGATGATCTTGATGAGGTAACATATTAATAATGATAATTTCTTCAACATTTGTGTACATAACTATGTTATCTCCATGATCTATGAATGTATAAACATATGAAAACTTTGATTTTTCCGGCAGGGTATGTTGCAATTTTTGGTAAGATCACAGGCTTAGCAAAAGAGTGTGAATGGTCATACATTGGTTGCAGAGATTGCAACAAGAAGATGGAGGAAATTGAAAAAGAAAAAGATACCCGTATTGTACCATCAACAAAAGGAAGAAATACCAGTGATAACAAGAAATTTGGGCTTGAGAAAAAATATTTTGTGGTAATCATGGCCTTATATCTGCTGTTAGTCCAAAGTATGTTTCAATAATTTACAATCTGTTTTTGTAATTAAAATAATAAATAATATGTTGTTATCAAACTTCTTAATTTGTTACTCTGTTATAAATTATTTTCCTCCATGATTTTATGAATAGGTTCAAGTTACAAGTGTATGCAATGGATGCTACTGGAAGCAGAATTTTGACCCTTTGGGACAGGATGGTGTACAATTTTATCAATAAGTTTGCAGAAAAACTCCGTGAACAGGTTTTATTCATTGATTTTAATGTGTACATTTTACTACTAAAAGTTTTTTATGTTTTTTTTATGACCATCATCATGTTTCCAGGTAGGAAAAGATTACCCTAAAATATTAGATGAGATTGTTGGCAAGAAATGTCTGTTCAGATTGGATGTCTCTAGATACAATATCAGGAACAGTAGTAGTGAGATTTCTGTTGCTAGGTTTACTACTGATGCAAAAATGATCAAGAAGTACATTGATGATGTTTCTGAAAATCAGGTTTGTTCACATTTTTGTATGGTCATATACAGTTAAATAGATTTGCACTTGATTTAAAAAAGATGCACATGATAATCTAACTTTTTTCCTATATTATAAACAGGAGATTGATCCGGAGATGTGTACAGAATTTTACCAAAATTTGACACCTACTCAGGATAGCACCGCCAAGGAATATTATACTAAACAAATATATTTATTGTTTTAAAAATTAGCAATATTTGGATGACACTTACATGTTTCATTGTTTGCAGACTGCAGTATCCTTCACTGGAGATACAGAGATAGGGAATTTAGGCGATGACATGGCTAACAGTCCTCCTCCAAAAAACAAAAGTGCAGGAAGTTGCGGTGAAGACAGTGTCAAATCCAATCCCAACAAACGTGTCAGAAAACTTTGATGTCCACGAAAGCACTTGACATTTCCTGCTTCAACAATAAACATACACTTTAGTTTTTAAGGTGTTTTCTTTGCCAGAATTGTTATTCTGATGAAACATTGTTATTTTTACAGTTTTTCCAGTACTGTTATACTTTTTTGGTGCTATGGATATTTAATTTCTTTTGATATTTGAGGATTCCAATTTTTCATGATTAATATCTACTATTATCTGGTTTAATTATATATTATTTTTACTAATGTGTTAAAGATTTGTATTAATGTGATTGCTAGAATATGAGAAATCAAAAGAAGTACATTTACTTTTGCAATTACTTTTATAAACAATAAGTTAACTTTTGAGTAGTAATTTACGAAATACAAACAGGAAGGTGAAAATATTCCTGTGTGAATATACAGTCATAAGAGTTATAAACTATGAAGTGTACTACTATAAATGAATAGTATAGTTGAGAGATAAACATTGTATCATGCTAACTAAAATGGCGTAATTTAAAACATTAAAACAAATGCTTTGTATAACTTCCATATATGTAGTTATATACCTATCGTTATAAAAAGATACCTTCACACTGGAGTCTCATAACTTTTTAATAAAAATCAGATACAAAAGTATAACTCTGAGATTCATATATTTTCATTAAAGTATAATTTTTCAGAGTTCTTCATGTCTAAAAACTGCTTTGTTATCCTCACAGAAGGTTTTGCCTTGGGTCAGGAACAAAGAAAGAAAGAAGAAATCACAACATCAAGCATATCATCAACAATGTCCGGTTAATTTCCAATAAATTAAACAATCTGATTTCAATTGAAGTTCACCCTTCTTCCCAGAATTATCCAAGGGTACCACTCAAAAAGAGTAGAGTGGTGTGATCTTAGTCTGTTCCACACAGGAATCGACAAATTAATACAACTAGAAAAGTCCAAAGATATTCGAGTCCCCATTTATACCATCACAGCATATACATATAGAATAATGAAGAAAGATAAAAATGATGCCCGCTGTAAAATAATTCAAACTGATGGAGTATGTTTATACAAAAAAAATCAAGAAACACTCTTTATTATGCTCAATAAATTCATTTGCAGCAGGTAGGCTCAAGCTGAAATTGTGAGCATTAAAAGAAAACTGGAAAATGTTGCAAATGATTTCCAAAATGAGCTGACAGTAGTTAATTAAGTAAAGAGTCATGCAAGTAAAGAAAACATCAGAAAACGAAGAAGGTCATAAGGCCAAATTATAGAACATCCGAAATACTATTAAAGAAAGGAACCAAAGAGATGGTATCATGTATCAATCAGGAAGATAAATTGCCATTTTGGAGACAACAGTGGCCTCAACAAACCTAATTCAAGAAGGCTACATTGAGTTCCCCGTCTCAAAAATGAATTAAATTGGAAAACAAAGATTTGACAATTTCTGTGAAGAAAAAAGGACAACTTATTCACTGAGAGAAGATTTTGAAAGAAGAGCAAAGAAAGACACGAGATCAAGGATTTCAGCAAAATATTTGCACGCATTGATTTCTTTCAAAATGTTGGCAAAGTCTTATCTCCTATACTCTAAATTCCTCACCGACGTCTATCTATAGGTTTCATTCTCTTATGTTCTATTATTTTTTTTTGTCCATCTAAAACTTCAACATCAATTATCAAGGCCGAATATTTCCTCTTTCACTATTGAGTTTGTTAAAGGTAAGAGAAATATGCATGCGCTTTCTTTCAAACAGGTCAAGAGAATTTACCTGAACTCCATTTGGGATGGCTTGTCCCAAGAAGATTTCATGGCAATTCTAAAGTCGTTTCAAAGAATCACACATTTAGTTTTATGAAATCTTATAGTCTTTCTCTCTGTTTTTTTTTTTAAGTACTTATGAACGGATCTCCTCTAAATTTGAAGCTTGGTTTTATTTTGCAAGTTCCTCATCCCTTCCATTATTCTTACAGACATCTACAACCTAGTTATGGTTCCAATGGTTCACTAAAGAATTTACTCCAAACTACTCCTAACCGAAACTATGAAAACTGTATAGAATAGTGTTAAGCTTTAATTCGGACATAAGTGTTTCATATTCAATTATGTTAGCTTTTGTCCTAGGTTCATATCCCTAGCCTCTGATACCACTTGTGACGGTCCAAGTCTCTAGTACGATTATTTATCGTTTTTAGTGACAAACTGAGCCGCCCGCCGGACGATCTCTCGCCCAAGGCTTGTGGAACAGAACTAATTAAGCTATTACATGTTCAAACATCTAAATTTTCTTTTTTTTTCTTTTTTTTTAATAGCGGAAGACTAATAATTACAATAAAGATATTTCCAAAATTTATTACAAATTCTGAAGTTCAAATAAGCGCTAGACTAAAGAAAAGCCAAATGCTTCTCTTCGCAATAATTCAATTTATTCTTTCCTTAACTCAGCTAACCTACAAACCTGTGAGGAAAAATAATGGGATGAACTTTAAAGCCCAGTGAATACCTCAAACAACAACTCCCAGCCCGTCACACTCCATACGGTAATCAAGTCACATGCACATGCAGTTATTCACACAGTTCATTTTCATCCATCATTTTCATTTGCTAACATTGTCTACAAAGTTCTATCAATATAACTGTTAGACTAACATTATCTACGCGATGAATTGCATTTGAAAAAGAAACATTCAGTCACATTAGCACATAAAAGATGATCATATCCGAGGCCATTGGCATATTCTCATGAGGATACGAGTGGATCTTTAACTGGAGATTGCCGAAGACCTATCTGGTCTTTTGGGTTGTCTTCCAAGTTAGATTCCCAATTGGTGTTCAAGTTACATTTCAAATCCAATAACAATAACCCGTCACTCCAAGTGGCCACAACAGTCAAGTACTCGTAGCTCGTGCACGCCTACTAAAGCTATCCATAGTCTATCCATACGTTTGTGCCCAATGCCGACCCGTTGGATTTGATCTATGGTAGCGGGGGCCCCAAGACTGGTGTGATAATGTACACATCCAAGTCTTCATAGTTACATGGCAATTCATTCACAAGTTCTTTACTAGACAGATTATGACAGTAGCAATTCTCGGTGTGATAAAGTACACAACCGAATAAAATGACAAGCAACTCAATTCAATTACACATAGACAAATAATAGCAATGCAATCACGTATCACAAGTTCATGTAGTAGCTCAAAGCTCGCACTTCGATCAAGTAAAACCACATAAGCACTCAACAGTCATGCACTGAGAGGGGGAGACAAGGTTACAATATAGAGCGTGAGAGGAGGTACTCACCTCCTTGCCCTTGATTCACTACGATAGTTCTCAAAATCTGTTAATGGAACATTTAAAATCATTATCACTTAAACCATTTTCTAAAACAAAAGATATATTTATTTGCAATAGTTTTCCTTGTCTAATATGATACTAATCTCAATGATGAGTTTCCATTTTATCCTCCTAAGACTTTTGATATCATTCTTAAAAACTATGGTTATAGGTCACAGCTTGTTGATCAGAGAGTGGATATAACTAAACTCATTCGAAAAGAGTATTCGGGAAAAGAAAACCAAAATCTCAAAGTTGGCTTCTCAACTTCAAGATTCTAAACTTTCATCAAAGTACCAATAAAGTTTGCTATGATTTAAGCAAGGTTTTGATTAGAAGAAAGATCTATTTCGCAAGCCGTTGAAACCATTATAAACTAAGCTCATTAAGGAGAAGTTTCATGAAAAGAAATCAAGAAAAACAGTTCAGAATTTAGGGGAAAGATGTTCCCAAAAAACAGCACTTCAACAATGATGTTTCTGCAGAATTTCAGATTCATCTAGCCAAGTTCAAATCCAATTTCTGAGCAAACTATAACTCCATTTAATGGTCTGAAAGAACCAAAATAAACTTCATCAAACATAGAAGAAGCTTGTGGAAAGAAACGTTATAAAGTAGTTTAAGAACCAGGGGAAAACTGATCTGCAAATTGCATCTCTAAATCAGATTCTTAAAAAAAAAAAATTCCAGAATTAATTAGTCATATTCAAACTCAGTTTTCTGGCAATCCGTAGCTCCAATTTGCAACCCGTAAAATCCTTAATAAACTTCCACAAACGTAGAAGACATTTACAAAAAGAAGTTCTTTGAAACAGTTTAAGAGAAGGGAGAAACGAATCTCCGAAAATGATCGGTCAGGACAGATTTTCAGAATGTGGTTCTTCATGTTCAAATCAAAATTTCCCGTCAAACTACATACCCGTTTTGCAATCCGTAAAATCCACAACAAACTACACTGAATGTAGAAGATACTGATGAAAAGAAATTCTAGAAAAGACTTTTAAGAGCTAGGAGGAAGAGGCCTGTTAACAGACGGTCCCAAATCTGAACTTTTTCTGCATTTTCAGAAAAAGAGAAAAATGACATGTCCAATTGTAATCAAGTTTTCTGGAAAGTCAGTAAAGCTAATTAGCAAACTATAAGAATGAAGATTCAACCTTGAAGTATGATAGCAAAAAACCAATCAAACTTTGGACAGAGATGACCGCTAAACTACGAAGTTCAAAGACTCAATGTTCACTACCCGAATCTAACGATTTCTTGTCCCTGAACTCTAAGATTGCATCCAATTCAAAATTCCTATTATGTTCAGTAACTTTTAATCAACAGATGAATTTTTAAATAAATTCCAAGGCCACGGAAATGCCACAATTAACAATCCTTAACATATATACATTACATACAATTCAAAAACTCAAGTATTGGCCAAAATAACTATTGCTCTACGTTGCAATTTATTCAATAACTCAAAACTAGGAATTGGTAGTGAGATTTCCAGAATTCTTACCTCTTTCGGCCGCTAATAAACAGCCCTAATGCCCTTCAATCTCCTCACCTTCCTAGTTCGACTTGATCAACTACTTTAAACCTTCTTCTTCCTATTTCCTTCCTCGACCTTCCAATTTTCCTCAATTAAAAAGCTCCGGCTCTCTTTATCTTTTCCCTTGGTTCAAGTTTTCTATTTTAAAGGTTTAGAAATGGTGAGGGACGATGGATTCAGCAGTGCATGCAAGAACAGAGAGTGTACGCGTGTGTGTGTTTGGGCGGTGGGAGGAAATAGAGGCGATGAAGTTGATACTTTGATTCTGGAAGGATTTTGAGCTTTAAGGAAAAGAAAACAAATCTGCCTCCTTTTTTTTTACTTTTTTTTTAAGTAGTTTTCTTATTATTTTATTTAGTTAGGTTACTAGGCTTGGCTAGTCATATTACAAGTTGGCAAATTATCTGGTACACCTGGGGGTACCGTGTCCCCCCATGCGCGTGTACCTCACTCTCTTACAATAGCGTTAGTCCGCCATTATAATTCAGCTTTCTTTTCCTTTTTTCTTTTTTTAAACGCGGGTTATATAAATAACCGAATTCATTCAAATTTGTAAAACTTTGTGATAGAGTATTATTGATGGGCGATCGAGGCGTTGAGGCGGCAATGGGAGTCGGCGATCGAGGCATTGAGGTGGACACGGCCGGCGGCGATCGAGTCGTTGAGACAGCGACGACGTTCAGCGATCAAGGAAAGGCTCCGATTCCACCAGAGTGGCGAAACGGTGATTGGATCGACGATATGCTTAGTTCAGATCGAGTGATGAGTTATGTCGTTAATGATTCCGGCTTGATGAATGCGGAATGTAGTGGTAGAAAATCTATCGAACAATCTTACTGTGCCAGCAAATCAGCGCAAGGTCACAGTTCTGTTATAGATCAGCTGGAATCAGGTTTGTGTAGGTTTCGGAATGTACTGTAATCAATCAAGTTTTTTCACAGTTCTGTTTTTGTTAATGTTGTATGAAGTGGATAAGCAGTTATGCTGTGTTGGATATTCAAAATGTTTGTACTGGATATCCACTTTGTTTGTGCTGGATATCCAGCTTATGTGTACTGGTTATCCAACTGATTTACATGCGTATCCAAATTTTATTTGCTGGATATCCAACATTTTTGAGTTGTTTATGTTGAATTGGTGTTTTTTCACAGTTCGGAGTGTATTGTTTGTGAGAGAATAATCAATCTAGTTTTTTCACAGTTCTATTTTTGTTAATGTTGTATGAAGTGGATAAGCAGTTATGTTGTGTTGGATATCCAAAATGTTTGTACTGGATATCCACTTTGTTTGTGCTGGATATCCAACTTATGTGTACTGGTTATCCAACTGATTTACATGCGTATCCAAATTTTATTTGCTGGATATCCAACTGATTTGTACTGGATATCTAACATTTTTGAGTTATTTATGTATAATTGGTGTATCAAAGATTTTTTTTAAAATTTTTTGTTTTTTCTGTTTGTCTCATTTTTTGTAAAAGATAAAAATATCAATGAGTTGGGGGATGATGTGATGCTGGATGATGCTTTGTGCATGGAAGTTACATCTGCTCTGAAGGGTAGGTTTTCTAACTTGTTTATATGTGTTTAAATTTTTTTTTTTTTGATTTGTTTATCCATTGTGTTAATACTAATTATCCGACTGCATGGTAATGGTTATCCAACCATCTCTTTTGTTTTTCTCAGAATGTGGAGAAGATAATAGCGACAATGAATTGGGAGTTAATAATGTGATGGTGGAGGAGGATGCCTTGCACAAGGAAATTTCATCTGTGACGAAGAATAATGATTTGGCTGTTTTTACTTTAGTTGGCAAGACTGCAAGAAGTGAGAAAGAAGCTTATGATTTGTATAATGATCATGCCCGATTGATTGGTTTTAGTGTGAGAGTGGGAAAATAGAAGTTTAGAGGTAAGACTAATAAAGTTAGGATAAAGAAATTCTGTTGTAACCGCGAAGGATACAAGAGATCCGGTGGAAATGGTGATGTGTGCCATGAGAGGATTAATTTTCGGTGTGGGTGTCCAGCTTATATCCATTTTACTGTTGACAAAGATGGCTTGTGGACTTGTACAAAGCATCTGGTTGATCACAATCATGATCTTGTGCCGAATGAAATGATTGGACTTCTTCGATCTCAACGTGAAGTAGATGAAAATGACATGAAGATAATCAGAGACATGGCAAGGAGTGGCATCCCTTTGGTTGATGCATATAAGTTTGTGGCAAAATTACACGGGGGAAGTCCGAACATGAAGTATACTTTGAGAGATGCCTACAATTATGAGCGTCCTGGTGTTGGATTTGAAGGTGGCGATTGTAATTAGCTGATGAAGATTTTTTGAGACAGAAAGGAAATTGAAGAAGATTTCTTCTTTGATTTTACTGTGATGAGCAGGGTAGGCTGTGTATTTTCTTCTGGAGGGATGGCAAAATGTGAAAGGATTATGATTTGTTTGGTGACTTGCTTGTGTTTGATACAACGCATCGAACAAACAGATATGGAATGATCTGTGCTCCATTTGTGGGTATGGATAATCATAACAAGAATATCATGTTTGGTTGTGGTTTTGTGTTAAACGAGAAAGAACCCTCTTTTGATTGGTTGTTCAAGCAGTTTTTGAAATCAACGGGAGATAAGCAGCCACAAACCATAATGACAGATCAAGCACCTTCTATTGCTGCAAGTATTCGGACATGTTTTCCAAGTTCTCGGCATCGTCTCTGTGTATGGCACATAGGTGAAAATTCAAGAAAGCGAATTGGTCATTTAAGGAACAAGCCAGATTTTGTTAAGAACTTTAATTATCTGATGAAATACACTTCAACAGAAATCGAGTTCGAGGTATTATGGAGGAGGTCAGTTTGTCAATATTTTTATTATTATTTTGATCATTTCCATGATTAAAAGTGTCTCTTATTTTTTTTGTTGTGTGGGTATGTGTTAGTGGTCATGCATGATCTTCCTTATGATTACTTATAGGTAGGTAAGTTATATAACTAATATGGATAACCAGCAAAATAATGTATGGACAAGCACCCATTATGGCCGGATAACTAGTTTACAGATTGTGGATAACCACCCATTATGGCCGGATAACTAGTTTACAGATTCTGGATAACCAGCAATTATGGCTAGATAACTAGTTTACACATTCTGGATAACCACCGGTTATGGCTGGATAACTAGTTTACACATTGTGGATTACCAGCAATTATCTCTGGGTAACCACCCGTTATGGCTGGATAACTAGTAGAAAGCCTTTGTTGGATGGATAACTATATGGATAATCTAACTATTTTTCTTTTTATGCATGTGTTTTATATTGTTGTGCACAGATTATTGGATGAGTATGATTGTCATGATGACAAATGGCTCAATGGTATTTATGATGTGAGGCATATGTGGTGCCCTGCATTTAGCAAAGATTTTTTTTTTCTGGTGGTACCTTGTCTTCACAGAAGAGCGAGTCAACAGATAATGCAATTTGTCGTAAAATGAAGGCCACATCATCGCTTTGTGATTTCCATGGAATTTTCTCTGATGTTGTACACTGTTGGCGGGTAGCTGTGAGGGGTGAAGATCTACGTTGTAGCCAGGGAAACATCGATTCATATCTTCCTGGTGACCCTTTCCTGGAGAGCATTCGCAGAGTGTACACAGTTGAAGCATTCCGGGAGGTTCAGCAGTTGCACAAAGATCGGATGTTGTGCAGGCAGGAGCAGGTAGAGGTCTCAAATGATGGCAATATTGTGACGTACAATGTTAGGCGGTTTGGGATAGAGCACTTTAAGCATGTGGTTGTACATTACACTAGGTTACAAAGATTGTCATGCACGTGCAGGTACTAATCTGAGGCGGGCATGCTTTGTTGCCACATTCTTCGAATCTATCATGTAACCTTTGTTAATGAGTTTCCTAAAGATTATATATGTATGAGATGGACAAAAGGTTATGGTGCCAGGTCAAGCATAGCTAATGAGGGAGATGGAAAAGCTGCTGGGCGATTGCTGTGGAAGGCACTAATTATGAGACGATTTTCAGACTTGGTGTATGCAAGTGAATATAACAAAGATGCAAAGAAATGTTGTGACGAGGCGGTTGACAGGCTTAAAGAAGAACTCGGCAGTTTCATTGGTTCAAATAATAATGATGAGTCTGTAGACAATGATGGTGTTATAAAGAATCCAGCTGTAAAGAGGAAGAAGTTTGGTCCCAGGAACGAACGTCCTAAAAGCATTGTTGAGAAGGCATGTAACAAAGTCAGAGGCAGGAAAACAAATGCAAGAATTGCTGCTGACCGAACAAGAGCTTCAGTTGCATCAGACCTGCATTATCAAAGCATGCCATTTCCATATCCAAAGGGAGCTGCTCAAGATTATTCAGGCTCAGGAAGTTTTGCTGTGAATGCTTCCCATCAAAGCATGCCATCTTTGAACGTAAATTCTGGTGGATTCTCATTTGCTAATCCAAGTGTAGCTGCCCAGGATTTTTCATGGGCAGGGGCTTCCACTTCTGTGAATGCTTCTGATCAAAGCATGCCATTCATCAACCAAAATTCAGGTGGATTCTCATTTCCAATTCCCAAGGGAGCGGGCCAGGAGTTTCAAGGCCCAAGCACTTTCGCTGCTGTGAATCCTTCTCATCAAAACATGACATTCATGAATCAAAACTTTGGTGGGTTCTCATTTCCTAACCGAAGGGAAGCTGCCAGGGAGGCTGGAGCGCAGCGTTTCTTCAACAAGATGTTTTATTAGTATTTCAACTTGATGTTGAAATGAACAGTATTGATGGTGTAAAGATTTTTATTTAAAAAGTATTATTTATTTTAAATTGCAGTATTATATAACCAGTTTGAACTGGTTATCCATTTTGTTTGTACTGGTTATCCAAGTGGTTATTTTAAATTGGTTATCCGTTGTGTTCATGGTGATTATCCAACCAGTTTGAACTGGTTATCCAAGTTGTTTGTACTGGATATCCACCCATTTGGTTTGTATGCCTATCGAACTTGTTTGTAGTGGATATCCATTTCGTTTGTACTGGATATCCAACTCGCCTGTACCGGATATGCAACTTTAAATGCACATAGATATTACAAAAAAAGGCATGAACACATTGAACACGGTTTCTTCATAAATAATATCATTGGATAACCAGCATAGATAATCTGGATAACCAGAATATGGATAAGCAGTATTGAGGTTTTGGATAACATGTATAATCTCATGGATAATCAGGTTAAAAACTGTACTTGCATTTTTTTTTGACTGGATAATTACTATAAAACATTCGGATAATCAGGTGTAACAAGATGGATAACTGGTACAATGATCATGGATAACCATTACAAACGGTTTGATATTGTTGCACATTGGCTGGATAACCAGTACAAAAGTCCTGGATAATCAATTCAGAGCGTTGGATAATCAGCAAAGAAATATTGGATAAGCAGAATAAAATCATAGGATAAGCAGAATAAAATCATAGGATAAGCAGTTTAATAAAGAAGTAGAAAGACCAAGAAATTGGGACACTCAGTTTTTATTGTTTGGCAATTTACAGAAATATTTGGACAACCAAAATACATTGAATCAAAACTTTGGTGGGTTCTCATTTCCTAACCGAAGGGAAGCTGCCAGGGAGGCTGGAGCGCAGCATTTCTTCAACAAGATGTTTTATTAGTATTTCAACTTGATGTTGAAATGAACAGTAATTATGGTGTAAAGATTTTTATTTAAAAAGTATTATTTATTTTAAATTGCAGTATTATACAACCAGTTTGAACTGGTTATCCATTTTGTTTGTACTGGTTATCCAAGTGGTTATTTTAAATTGGTTATCCGTTGTTTTCATGGTGATTATCCAATCAGTTTGAACTGGTTATCCAAGTTGTTTGTACTGGATATCCACCCATTTGGTTTGTAGGCCTATCAAACTTGTTTGTACTGGATATCCATTTCGTTTGTAGTGGATATCCATTTCGTTTGTACTGGATATCCAACTCGCCTGTACCGGATATGCAACTTTAAATACATATAGATATTACAAAAAAAGACATGAACACGTTGAACACGATTTCTTCATAAATAATTTCATTGGATAACCAGCATAGATAATTTGGATAATTAGTACAAAGTCCTGGAATAACCAGTAATATCATTGGATAACCAGCATAGATAATCTGGATAACCAGTACAAAGTCCTAAAAGTGTGTTAATGACTCCCAGAAGTAACATGCTCTGATGATGAAATTGGTTTCTAGATCCAGCAATGTACTTGAGTGTGTGATTTTCCTGGTAGGAACACTATACAACAGCAAATGTCGATTATCGTATCCTTTGAGAATGAACTGTCCCACTGGAGATGATTTGTGGCTTAGAAACACTGGATAAAGCCAATCATGACGGAAATGTAATCCATGTGGAACGTGTGTGTTCACATTTGGGAATTCATGGGTCTCAAATATACAATCCCATGTGGAAGTATCCGGATCCCATGCCCACATCTCACAGTGATGATTCTGAGTAATCTGGTACTCATCTATTACACACATAGTCCCCTGGAAGTCCAATATTTTCACTTGGAGATTCATATGAGAAGGATAAGTGGGGTTAAAGAAGGTTGGAGATGGAGGGCACTTTATGGTTTGGAATTGTTGAGTGTGGTAGTCAAACACAACCAGCAGCTCTTGAGGTGTTGCTATTTCAGAGATAGTTTGTCTACACGCCAGTACACGAATCTATCAAACCAGGTTCCATCAGATACAAAGCGAGGACATACATTGCAAAGTGTTTTCCATTCCCCTCTATGAATACTTGAACAACTTTGAAAAGAAAAAATGCAGCCTTGCATGTTTTTTCCATCGGCAATAAGGGCCATGAAAACGTAAGTTTTTGAGGATGATACGTACCCAAATGCTGTTTCACAATTGCTGAGAGGGACATCATATGGCCATTCAACTGTTGCAAGTTGTGTTGTCTTTGGGTTCAAGAATTTGATTTGAGAGCTGGTTTGCAGACAGACCAAATCTGTGGTGATAGGCATGATTTTATGGATGCCGTCGTCACCCATCGACATCTCTTCTTGAATCGTATGTGGTTGCATGGGTTATTCATTTGCACTTTTATGTTGGTGGCGATTAGTTTGTCTTGCAACAGATGACCTTCTTGGCTTGTTTGAGTGAAAACAAGGATGTTGTTTTCACTTGCAGGGTAGCTCATCTCACGTTTTTTAAGAACAAATTCTTGTCTTTTCGTCATTTACTCCCAAGCTTTGCTGACACGACGGAACTCCCTAATCTTTTCCAATGACAGATTAATGAACATATTATCAAGCATATCGTGATGGGTATATTCATGATAGCTGGGGGACATTTGTTTGGTGGTGGAATTTGAGGAAATTTTTTCGTTTTTCATTTTTTTCTGGCTGTTGGATGTTTTGGATGCTCAAATCAGGCATTCTGGTGTATGTGCAGATGAAGGAGTTTTATAGAAATGCTCTATGTGGAGATGTCAGGGAGTTGTATAGAAATGATGTATGTGAAGATGAGGTAGTTTATAGAGAGGTAGTTTGACGGATTAACTACCCATGCAGTCCTATCTTTTTTCACAAATCAGTGTCTTCTCACTCTCTATTCATTAACCGTCATTGTTATAATCAAGAAACTCATTTAATGACAGTTATGTAACTGATCCTCCTTATTCAATCCATTGCATGTAAAAACGTGTGGCTCTGTAACTACCCATTAGATCATGGTGGATGTACTCTGCACAAACACGAACATTTTCAGTTTTCTTTTTTTATTTATACTCCCTCAATCTTTTAAATTCTATTTAATTACAAAACGTGTGGTTTTCAGTTATACACAGTAACATGCTCCACACTGTGGATAACCAATATGGACATAGTGGATAACCAGTGTTCCCACTATGGATAACCAGTTTAAAACAGCTGGATAACCAGCATTTTTCATAAAGAATAAAAACAAAGTGAATTTTATACCCATGAAAAGGGAGAGAGCAGGTGAATGGTTGAAGGAATGGTACATTATCTCACACACTCAATTATGATTGAATGACGTTTTCGGGCGGAGGATTCTAAGGGATAATTATTATGATTGCCTGGCTGCCGTTTGGAAAACATGCGCACTAATGGGGCAGGTTTTCCAGAATTTGGGCGAGATTCTGAAGCGAGTCGCATTCCCGGGTCGGGTTTGGCCCGCGAGTTAAGTCAGACGGCCTACCTCTCATTCATTTTTTGTTCTCCATCATTTGACAAACTTCCCCTCATTCATTTTTAAATACTGTTTATGAAATTTGCCTTGTTCGGCATGGGGGCGGTACATCCGCGAAAGGCGGCGCAGCCGGGTCGTTTAGTTTATCGCGGGGGGATTTATACAATTAATTTGTGTCCCCTCTTAACGCAATAACACACTCTCCTTACACACACACGAAAAAAGGATTACCTTAGCTACATTAGCGTATTCGGCTGGGTGGCGCAGCCGGGGTAGGTTGGTGACTTGCGATTCCGGTAGTCGCGGGAGTCATTTAGTTTATCATGGGGGGCGAAGCCCCCCCCCAATGAATATGACGTTTGGATTGCAGTATTGAGATTTTGGATAACAAGTATAATCTCATGGATAATCAGGTTAAAGACTGTACTTGCATTTTTTTTTTACTGGATAATCACTATAAAATATTCGGATAATCAGGTGTAACAAGATGGATTACTGTTACAATGATCATGGATAACCATTACATATGGTTGGATATTGCTGCACATTGGCTGGATAACCAGTACAAAAGTCCTAGATAGAGCATTGGATAATCAGTAAAGAAATATTGGATAAGCAGGATAAGATCATAGGATAAGCAGTTTAATAAAGAAGTAGAAAGACCAAGAAATTGGAATACTCAGTTTTTGTTATCTGAAAATTTACAGAAATATTTGGACAACCAAAATACATTGTCTTGTTATTTTCTTATGGATATTTTCTTTTGTTTTGTCTTTTTGGATAATCAGGTTAAAGAATGTACTTGCATTTTTTTTTACTGGATAATCACTATAAAACATTCGTTACATATGGATAAGCAGTATTGAGGTTTTGGATAACAAGTATAATGTCATGGATAATCAGGTTAAAGACTGTACTTGCATTTTTTTTTACTGGATAATCACTATAAAACATTCGGATAATCAGGTGTAACAAGATGGATAATTGGTACAATGATCATGGATAACCATTACAAAAAGTTGGATATTGCTGCACATTGGCTGGATAACCAGTACAAAAGTCTTGGATAATCAATTCAGAGCGTTGGATAATCAGCAAACAAATATTGGATAAGCAGGATAACATCATAGGATAAGCAGTTTAATAAAGAAGTAGAAAGACCAAGAAATTGGGACACTCAATTTTTGTTGTTTGGCAATTTACAGAAATATTTGGACAACCAAAATACATTGTCTTGTTATTTTCTTATGGATATTTTCTTCTGTTATGTCTTTTTGGATAATCAGGTTAAAGAATGTACTTGCATTTTTTTTTGACTGGATAATCACTATAAAACATTCGGATAATCAGGTGTAAGAAGCTAGATAACTAGTAGAAAGATCCTAGATAACCATTACAAACGGTTGGGTAATATACTAGACAACATAATGACAACATCCCTAAATTATACAATCAGTCAATCAATTATACAAGGCAACATAATGACAAATCATTTAACCCATCCCTGAATTTTTCTTTCATTATAGTAAGATTTGCTGCTCAAATCAACATGATCTGGAATTTCTTTTGGTTCTTCTTCAGCAGTATTTGTATAGAACTGGTACATTGCTTCGAGGATTTTGTCCTTATTTTTGTTGATGGGTGCATAAGGATTTTTAACATGTATTTCCACCAGTACTCTTTGATGTTTCCTGTGTGGAAATCCAAAGTAGTACCGTCCTCGTAGTCACCACCATCATACTGCTCCATGTGGTGCATTATGAATATTCCACAATCTTCCGCATTCGGCGTTTTGTCCTTGTGTGATGGTAGCGTAACCTCTGTCAAGGTGTACTGAGCAGTGACCAGTTCTATGTGTTGAAACACGCATTGAAGGTACATTTGGAAGAACCGAAACTGTGATGCCATAAAATCCAAGGATCAGCAAAATGCAATGGATAATTCTTAAAGTATGACAATCATTTTGTATCTTTTTTTCACTCACAAGTAGATCTTTTGTTGGTTTGTAGTAGTCCAGATCTTTTGCATGAAGATTGTTGAATGCAAGCACTTTCTTTTCTTCAACCAGCAACACATACAAGAAGTAATGGTCTCGGTAGTGTACTGGGTAGTAGATCTGATTTTTCACATTGAAGGGGGAAATCATATGAAAATTTTTTAACAGCCAGTTATAGAAAGAGTGAAGGAGGTGAAAGATGTTGCTTACAGCTTTTGCCGCTATCAGGGATGCTACACTGAGGCCTTGTTCTTCTAGTTCAAGAGCCAACCTCCCATAGAATGTAAACTCTAATTCTTCTTTGTTACTACCCGGTTGGTTGTATCGACTGATTGTATCCTGCGTTATTGTTTGAGGTGGTTGGAAAATGATACAATGATCAGTACAATGGTTGGAAAATGCAGTAGAAAACAATGATCGGAATCAAGCACATACAAGGTCAACCAAAAGTACCCTAGATGACAAACAAGAATGAATGGATAACCAGTAGAACTCTAATGGACAAGCATTAGTAACAAATTGGATAATAAGTGTTAGTGGTCATGCATGATCTTCCTGATGATTACTTATAGGTAGGTAAGTTATACAACAACGATGGATAACCAGCAAAATAATGTATGGACAAGCAGCCGCATAGAAGCACAACTAAAAAAAGGCATGGATAACTAGTTTACAGAATGTGGATAACCACCCATTATGGCCGGATAATTAGTTTACAAATTCTGGATAACCAGCAATTCTGCCTGGATAACTAGTTTACACATTCTGGATAACCATCCGTTATGGCTGGATAACTAGTAGAAAACCTTTGGATAAATAACTTGCAGACGTGTGACAAGTATTTTACCAGGGCGGGATAAACAATAAGGGTTTAGTTGACTTACAAATGAGGAAGCACCAAGAATATCCGACTTGGGCAGTCACTTTTAGCTTCTTCTTTGTTTAGGATGACAGCCCAAGCATCTATGATGCTGTTTCCATGTCTCTTCCTTCATGGAATAGAATGCTATCCTGTCTGCCCAAACAATTTTTCCAAATTCAAACAAGAAATTCCTGCATAGAAAAAGTAGTCAAATAGGCAAATAGTTGAAAAACTGATAAGTTTTTTATCCCACGGGTAAGGATGGTGACTTTTACCCTGATTTAACTATTTCTTCTTGTCTCTACAAGAGAGCGAAGTCTATCAACAGGGCTTCTTCTTGGGTCATTTTCTTCTTCTCCTCTGTCAACTGTATGAATTTTTTCTTGTTTTTCTTCTGCAGCATGAATGGCGACCTGAACCGTTCGGGCAACCGGTGGACTCTTGGTGGATTTCTCCTCTTAGGTTTTTCCTTGAGGATCCTGGGACATAACAAAAGAGAGTCAGTATGTAAATTCGTCTTTCTATTTTGTAGTGAGGAGTCACAGTGGATCAAACTTACTTTTCCACTGTCTTTATTAACCCTTCATCAAGTACTTCAGCTTTCTTTGAGATTGCAGGGGGTGGCGTGGTACACTCATTTTTGTCCAGCATGAGTAGACCACCCGTGGTAGAAGCAATATTCCAATCGGGTGGAATTATGCTTAAAGGGACTGCTTCAACCACCTTTGGGTTTTTCTCAACTTGTTCTGCAACAGCCGCAATGATCTCTGGTTTTTTGGTATCACTTAACGATTCTGAAGCTGGTGCACTGGCCCTTCTTATGATTTCATCGATGGAAGGATTGGGATTCTTTGTTTCGTCGAGTGCAGATGGTACTGGATATTCTTCTGCTTCTATGGTCTCATTCACATCTTTATCCAAATCAACACTTCCTGTGACATCTTCCTGAGTGTTCTTCTCCTTGGTTGTCTCGTAACTGTCTTCCTGACTGGAGAAGATACCCAAGTTAAAGTGTGGGACAGTTGGGTCATTGAATGCTTTCCTTTTCCTGGTACCAGTGCTTCTCGACCTTTTGGTATGGGTGGATGTCACACCTAAATCCCAGCCGGTGGAATCTTGATGGGATCTCTTCTTTTCTGTTGTGGAGATATTTGTTGCATGTTCTGCAGTACAAAGTTGGAATGTTGGATAATCAGTACGAACATACATATATATTAGACACATTGGATAACCAGTTCAAATGAAGTGGATAATCAGTTCAAATAGGCTAGATAATCGGCAGGAACACAATGGATAACCATTTAAAGGGAAAAAAGGGGTTGGATAAGGAGTACAAATTAGACAGATTGGATAACCAGTTCAAATGAAGTGGATAATCAGTTCAAATAGGCTGGATAATCCGCAGGAACACAATGGATAACCATTTAAAGGGAAAAAAGGGGTTGGATAAGCAGTACAAATTAGACAGATTGGATAACCAGTTCAAATGAAGTGGATAATCAGTTTAAATAGGATGGATAATCGGCAGAAACACAATGGATAACCATTTAAAGGGGAAAAAGGGGTTGGATAAGCAGTACAAATTAGTTGGATGACAAGTACAATCACATCAGACGAGTATTTGTTTCATTAAAAAAATATTCATTACCTTGTGGTTGAGTTTGTTGTTCGTCAACCACCACTTCTTTTGAAGCAGGCACGGATTTCCCCACTGGAAGAGAATTCTCATCATTTGTCTGGCTCAATTGATCCAGTCCCTGTGCCCCTTGTGGTTGAGTTTGTTGTTCATCAACCACCACTTCTTTTGAAGTAGGCACAGATTTCCCCACTGCAAGAGAAGCCTCATCATTTGTCTGGCTCAATTGCTCCAGTCCCTGTGCTTTGTCAATTTCAATGTCTTGAAAATTTGTGGGATTAATTGGAGCTTGTACAGTATTGTCATCAGTTTGTTGGTGTTGTTGTTGTTGTTGTTGGTCAGCTACTTGTCGTTGCAGCTGTTCTATGATTGTTGCAAATCTACTTTCAGCGACTTCCATGCCATCTCGCACAATTCAAAAATCTGTGCATCCTGGAGGTCTTGCTGGTCTTGTTGCTGCTCTTGTTCCTGTTGCGTTGTACCTGAAGGCGGAGGCATCTTTCTACTCATCGACACCATTGCATCTGTTAGGATCTTGATTGTTTGTTTTGCTTGTTCATCTGGTTCAATTTTTAACTCCATTTCCTTCTCACAAATGTCTAAAACAGTTTTGCTCATCGTGATAATCAATTGGTAGAATTTTTCATAAAAAGCAGCAAGGTCCTGCAAAAGTGAATGTAGTTAGTGGAATGTGAAGATGCTAGGTTAGATACGTAAGTTTGATATGAAAAAAATGGTAGAATAGTACATAGACTTGCTGTGTGTTGGGGTTTCCCTGTGTATCCTCCTGTGATTCAGCCTCTGGTTGTTCATCTCGGGATGCTGCTGAGGACGGTTTCTTGAGACGTTCAAGTGTCTGGACATCTGTGAAATTGCTTCCCTGAAGACTTATTCTGTCGTCCAGCATCTTTTGATCCCAAGATTTGATCACAGGGAATGACCTCAGATGTGCTCTCTCATACTCACACCTGTCAAGGTAGCACAACTAACCAAAAAAAAAGTTGGTGTTAATGATATCAGTACAAGCAGCACAAATTAGACAGATTGGATAACCAGTTCAAATGAAGTGGATAATCACTTCAAATAGGCTGGATAATGGGCAGGAACACAATGGATAACCATTTAAAGAGAAAAAAGGGATTAGATAAGAAGTACAAATTAGTTGGATGACAAGTACAATCACATCAGACAAGTACAAGCAAATTGGATAAACATTGCAAGCAATATGGATAACTAGTAAAATTTATACGGATATAGTAAGTACCAGGAAAAAAGTGATTGATCCGGTGAATGGTTTCCCATCGTGGTGACTTTTGTATCCTTTCACCAGTGCATCAATCACATATTGACACCAATTGTATTGTGTCGCTTCATTGATGTTCACGAGGGACTTCAGGATGTTCATTGTGATCCTGGAAGTGGTGTTTCCATGTAGGAATGTGCTCACAACGAAGACCAGGAAATCTCGTTTGAAGTCATCACCAAAATCTTTTCGACCAGCAATTAATTGTGCCGCCGTGGATCTCGTTGGCAGGAATTTATTACTGTATCCCATTCTTTTCTTGAATGCATCCACCATCTCAGCATGGTCCGTTATAGCGGGATCATTCTGTTTGAATTCTTCCACTGGTTTGGGTCCACAAGGAAGATCAAGTACAGCAACAACATCTTCCTGTTTGATATCTACTACATTGTTCCCATTCAATGGGACTTGTCTTGCACCGGTCTGGAAATTGTTTGCCAGAAAATTATATAAGGCTGTTGGAATATTTTTGATTTTGAGATCCAGCAAGGCGCCAAATCCCATATCTCTGATAGCCTGCCTTTGTAGTTGGCGGTAATCTACCGCATCTGGCTCTTTTGTAAGATCTGTTGGTTTATTAATTTCAGTGATAAGTTGGAAGAGATGGTTCGGTGTCCTCCTTGTCTCAAATTTCTTGACAGAATCTTCAGAACTGATTGGCTGTGGATCTTGACCAATCATCAGTTTGTTTTTCTCAGGTTTCGTTCTTTTCTTTTTGGGCTTTTTATCATCGTTGTCATCAGCAACCACAAGTTGCTTTGGATTTCCTGTCGGTGTGCTCTTCTTCCTCTTTGGTTTTCTCCACAAGTTGTCGGGCCTTGGAGTTTGTACAGGGGACTATTCTTCTTGTTCTTCTTGGGTTGATTTTTGTTTTTTATATATGGTCAGTGTTCCTTCAGGGAGCTCCATTATTTTCTCTGGTTCAGGATTCGGTGATCTGTCTGGGTTGCAGTTGAGGTCGTGGCTTGCGCTGATCCACTCGTGCCTATATTTTGTTCTAGCCTCCTTTAGGGCACTGTTGGCATTGCACAATCAGTAAGAAGTTAGTGGACAAAATAACAGGATATGAAAAGGAGTAGTAATCAAAAAAGGAGTAACCAGTATGAAATGGGTGGATAACCAGCAAATAATGTATGGACATGTAGCCAGATAAAAGCACATCTAAAAAAAACAATGGATAACCAGTTTACTCACTGCGGATAACCAAGTTAAAATCGGTGGATAACCAGAAACAAAGTTTGGACAAGCACCCCATAGCACACACACAGGAAAACTTGGATAACCATTTCAGATATATAGTGGATAACCAGTTTAGTTTGTCCATGCCACATAGAAAATGTAAAAAAAGCATGGATAACCAGTTTGCAACTTGTGGATAACCAGTTTACCACTTGTGGATAACCAGTATGAAATGGTTGGATAACAAGCAAATAATGTATGGACGTAGCCACATAAAAGCACATCTCAAAAAAAACAATGGATAACCAGTTTACACCATGCGGATAACAAATATTTAATGGATGGATAACCAAAAACAAAGTTTGGACAAGCACCCCTAAACCCTAAACCAGTAACAAAAAAAACACAAAAACATGAATAACCAGTTCAGTTTGTCCATGCCACATAGAATAAAATGTAAAAAAAGCATGGATAATCAGTTTACAACTTGTGGATAACCACTTTACAACTTCTGGATAACCACTTTACAACTTGTGGATAACCAGAATGAAATAGGTGGATAACAAATGTCAGTATAATATAGATGGATAACTAGAGATTATGGCATGGACAACGATCACATAGCATACACGCAGGAAACCATGGATAAATAGTTCAGATCTAGTGGATACACACAAGATATTGCTGGATAATCAAAAAAATAGGATCCACGAGTAATATACTTACCATTCAAGCATGTATAGATGAAGGAGAGCTTGAGATGGCCGGACGTAGGATTTCTCGCCGTCGTCTGTGTGTGTGTGTGTGTGGGTTTGTGTGAAAGAAAAAGCTGACAAAAGGAAAAAACGCAGGAGAACATGAAGTTATCAAAGTCGTCTTCCAGTGTAGGTTTTCCGTCGATTTTGTGTTATTTTGTGGTGGTGGTCAATTTTGTATTTGCCCTAAAATGGAGAGTTTCCGTCGACTGTGTGTTTGTGTGTGTTTATGCGTGAGGATGAAATAGATGAAAACAATTTTCTGTGTGTATTTAATGTAAAGATAAAAACAGTTGAGCGCGTGGTGCGTGTGTGTTTGGTGGGGGGGGTATACGGTACACTCGGGTGCACTGAATACGACCTCATAATGTAGAAGTTGGCCAGCTTCTACTTGGAGTTGGTCCACTTAATATACTACTATATCTTAAATTAGTTCTCCTCCCTTATATTTATTTAAATAGAATTTATTTTATTCACTTACAAAATAATTAAAAATGACCAATTTCTTTTTATTATGGTCCTGGAGGTATTTCCCTCCTATGATTACTTATACAAATAAAATTTATTCAGTACACACACTCACCCTAAATCATAAAAAAAAGGTTTAAACAATGTATTAAAAATATTGATTTATTGAAACATAACTTACTAAAAGCATATAAAAGGTGAGACCTCACACATACTACTGCAGGACCCTACACAATGAAGTTTCAAAAATCATATGATCAAAGGTACATTGGAAGGAGGGTTTGCCAGTTGAAAATTGTGGGGGAGTGGATGCAATTGCTCAATGAGAATTCTATTGCAACTGGAAGTCAATGTGAATTCCATTTAGACAGGGATAGTGTCCAACGAAGGAAAGACGATATTGATTTCCATTCACTTTATGCAATGAGTAATTTTTAGGCGAAAATTTTTGTATCTGAATTGGCAATTTGCTTTTATTTTTTGTGGAACAGAAATAATTTTCTCTTTAACGTTGAATCATCAGACATCAATTACTGTTTTAGTAAAAGTCTTTGTATTGTGTTTTACTTAGAGAGTTTAAATGAAAAAAATACAATATTTATCCAGGTCCTAAAAAAGTGGAGATTCATTGTACTCTTGTTTTTTGTGGATTTAAAACGATGCTACATACAGAGCATATTATTATTCTTTTATAACTGTTCTGATTCTTTTAAATTCCATTTTTTTAGGGGTTATCTTTAATTGTCATAAAGAGGAGATAATATATATATATATATATACACTTTTCCTGTCAAATCATCATTACAGATAAAATTTCCAGAACAAAAAAACTAGACTCCATAAGCCCTTTTTATATTCATATAGCATATAGACTCTGAGATCACCATACAGATTGCATTGGAGATAGAAGTAAACAATGGAAGAGGCTTACGATCAATTGATTAGTGTTCCAATAAACATTCGCAGAAAAGGATTGATAAGTCCTTTATAATTTTCTAATTGTATCATGATCGATTATAAAAATTTCTTACTGACAACCAGTTTTATGTAAATTATTAGATTCTTAGCATTAACTTAACTTCAGTCCTGAGGCATGTTGGAAAACAGATCAAGATTGATTTCCAAGGAAACCGATAGTTTTATGCAAATATACATATCACTAAGAAGAGGAGATGTCAGATATATGGATCTGGTCTGGAAGCTTTTTTCCAGGAGTTCGGTGTATCTTCCAGATCCAAAATTAATGTTGTTTAATACAGATCCCTGAATGTGTTACAGTTATTTAATTTTAATTATGATGGATGTGAAAGGATTCACCCAGATGTGAATGCAAGAACTGGTAACCGCTATCTGTTGAGATTAGATGATAGTACATCCAAACAAGCTGTAAGTTATAAGTGTTATTGACTTTTATAATTCTTTTGTTTTTTTATTTATCTTAGTCCTTTACACTAAATAACTATTTAATAATACATAAAAATGGACTAATCAATGGGGTCATTAAAAAATATTTCTTTAATGATATTGATTGGCCTTCAAATCAAACTACAGCAAAGTGTGTTGATGTTGAGCGCAATCAATGGGAGTTCATGATCATGAGGAAAATAATGAACCAGTAGGTTTTGAAGGCCCGATGTGGGAGGAGTTTCATGACTATTATTATAACAGAATAAAATGTGTGAATGTAATTGTTGTTTACACTGGAAATTTGTATTTCCATTTAAGGCTTTTCAACAATGAAGGTTACTGCTGCAACCTTAAATATTGTTGATTCGGATTCATCTGAAGATTTGTACTTACTATTTTTCTTATAATTAATTCATTAAATTCAACCAACATTATTATCATAATGCATATTCAAATACTAATATTAATTTATATTCAGGTGAAGTTGATACAGTAGACTATCTATGTAGCAATGGTGATCATAACACATTTTCTGTAGTCGTGACTAAAACTGTAATCCACCATGGCAGATTGGTAATAAAATGTGTTTGATAGTAGTTTACCACCATAGGAATTTGAATTAATTATTCAATTATACACAATTCTCTAATCATATTGCAGGAGATACCGTAGCATATAGTTCAACGATTGAAGTTAGATGACTACACAAATGCTATTTTATACTATGATGGAATTCCAGTAATTAACATGCATTGAGCTGTGACTAATGACAATCCACATCGGTTTGTTATTGAAGGTGATATAAAGTACATGGTAGATTTGAAGAAAATACCTTTAGGTATAACTTTAGTATTCCGTATAGATGCTCGCAAGGTATGTAATAAAGAGTATCTGATTATAGAAGTCCTGTAGAAGATATTATCTGGTGTTTTTTATTTTATTCTGATGAAAACAATGCAATTTCCAAGTTTTTTTATAACTTATTTTTTTGTATGTGTATATTTTATTTTATATACAATAACAACGTATTTTAGTCAATTATTTACCATGACTGTTAAAAAAACATAAGCCCGTGGATAAATGACTAGTAATCAAATTGAGTTAAAAAATTATCAAATTAAGAAAATTAATACTACAAAAATCAAAGTATTTTTTAAAAAGAATACAGATGTACAGTAGGATATTATTTTGGATATAAAATAAAAAAAATCTTGATATGCCATAATATTGTACAAGTATATCAGATCCCACTTTTTTAGGATGACAATATTATAATAAATCATATATATTCGATAAACACAAAAATATTAGCCATATATAGATCCAATTTTATCAAAACTTAAGATAATACTTCACAAGTACATTCACAATCATTATTATACTATTATGTTTTGAATCAAAGAGCATTGTGAATTACTTTTAGCCAACCTTTCAGAAAATTTCATAATGGTTAATACTTCTGTAAAAGAAGCAAGATTGTTCAGGAAAGATTTAGTAAAAGCAAAAAGGTTGTCGCTTCAGTCACGCAGAAGAAATAAGCAAACAGTGGTGGTTTCTACAGGTCAAATCAATGATGTTGTCACTGGTAAGGATGCAAGATTTACCAGGAAACAGATTTTGAAAAGTCAGTCAGATGGAGGTATGCATTCAGATATGGTACAACCTCAAAAGGATGCGGTAAATATACCCAAAGTGGACCGTATCAGTGCTAAACATTCAAGAATGTTAAGAAAAAACAAATTATACCATATCAGAACGGATAAGAAGTTGAAACTTCAGTCAGCCGTTGTTCAGAATTCGACAACACCATCAAACTGTTCTGTATCAGATGGTATATTTTCATATATAAATGTGCAGATGATTATATATGTG